TTTTTTTTCTAAGCTAACTCATGTTTCCTGGAGACTGCTATAGTTCCGGAAGACTCTTTGCCCACTGGCGGATGTAGTGGAACTTCGCTTTCTATAGTATTCTATTTAAGAGTAGATTCCTTTGGTGGGCCTTATCAAACCGTATTTGTCTCGATTACTGCTAATCACTTGTTACTAGTGATCTACAGTACTTAAGATTCCTGAGCTTCTACAACCTTATACTCGTAGATATGAAATCTACTTTTTAAGAATTCTAACGTTCAATGAAGTTAATGGCTCAGTTTCTTATACTGACGTCAACTCATCTATAAAACTTAATTATTTCCTTAATTCAATAACTTAAGATACTTAAGATTTCTGGTATTAATCTTAAGTTTTTGCAGAAATTTTTCTTTTTAAATCCCTCATATCACTCCTGAGCATCTTATCGATGTCTGTCTACACGATGAGTTCAAAAGGAATACTTACTAAGCCCCAACCCCCTCAACCAATAAATGTCAGATGAGACGACAGTCACAATAATTCTTCAAGAAAAATTCCCTCAAGATATAGCACTGGAGACAGTAAAGGCGATGATCTAAGGAAAAGACAACTGGGATCTCGAGCGATTCATGAAACTGCTGTATCAGCTAGTAGAAGCTTGGGGGAGCATAATACGCAACCGTGCGTGTAGCGGAACTCATAATTTCTATGGTAACCTTAATTTGAATTAAATTTTGGCTTAACTAAACCCTTTTATTACAGTTAATTTCTCTTTTATCAAAATACCGTAATATGACCGTAATCTAAGTAGCCTTCTTATATTGAGTCCTTAATAGTCTGACTCCTTATTTTTAATTGTACTGCAATGACTACTTATATATAGGCAGAGAGAGAAATGGTAAGAAAATTGTCTTTATTTTATGTGAAGAAACTTGTACTTCCGAGACAGTAATAATGGTTCTCTTCCGAAAAAGAAAGATGCAAATGTAGAAAAATATTAATCTTTTAATCTTGTGCTAGTACTTATTGAAAATTGAGAGATAATAAGAGAACAAGAGAGAAAAGACAACTTGAAAAAACTGATAGGCATCAAAACTATTCTGAATTGGAAAGCACCAAATTCACAACAAATCTTTCCAACTTATCCACCTTTGCAAAGATTCCACTTGAAGAATTACAGACAGATTTGAGTATTCAGCACAGAACTCAATCGCAACCGTTCGGTATATAGGTACCGAATGAAAATAATAAATGTTACCATTCAAAAGTTAACAATTCTGATTCCAATTCTTATGATGGTAAATAACATATAATAATAAACAAAGTATAAAATAAAATAATGCTTTCTTTCTCCGCTGCCACGCGGGACTGTCAATCAATGAAAGGAAATTTTATTCCGTAGCCCACAATACTGACTTCGAATCACACCTAAAACTTGGGTAATTAAACCGACAATCGGTACGAATCAACAGGAACCAAAATTATAAATACATAAACTCGCTTCGTCT